ATATATATATATATATATATATAATAAATTTATTATTATCAACTAAATTAATTATTTTTCTTAATCTTGATGAATTAAGTAATTAAGTTTGATATATAAAAATTAGTATTATTTAATTACATATTGACACATATAATATTTTATTGATTTGTTCTATAACTATTTGAAAAATCACACCTACCATTAACATTTTGTTACTTTAAGAGAACCGAGTTTTGATCTTAACTAAAGTTTTACATTTCAATTTTGTAAGTAGAAACAAAAATGACAAGAGAGATAACCGGACTGAAAATTGTCAACTAGATTCTCCATAAATATTTTGCATTAATTTGATGATAAAAAAAAATATATTTATCATTACCATACTTTTTAACTAACAATACATCGAAGTTTAAAGCAAATTATTTCCTCTTAAACATATGAACCAGTCAGTCAAAAATGAAAGATAAGAGAAACAGTGGAGGATTGGATGAATAAACACAAGTAATGCTGCAAATAAATGAAAACGAAACTCAGAATAAGAAGAAAAAAGCAGAGAAAATGAAAGAGAAATTAGAGAAATTTACATACCCAAGAAGCCAAATGATTGCACCAATTGGACAAAAAACCAATGAAATCAAAGCAAAGGGTGATCCAATCACGAAAGCCAGTGGTCTGCATTCGCAAAATTCACCTTCCATAATATTGATATATTTATTGTGTTCTATATAGTTGTGGCAAATTGCGATCTGAATCTGAAGAAGAAGAAGAAGATGAAGAACGAAGAGAAGTTGATTTGATTTTAATATATAAATCTTCTTGATTTCGATGTAATTTCGTTGGAAAACCCACCGTGACGAGAACTCCGATGACTTGCTTTGTTCTAACGTTGACCTTTAGTTGTTTTTTTTTCTTCTTTTTATTAATCTATTTCATGCCATTCATGTTACCATGCACGACACTAGTATATTTATAAGATCCCAAAACATAAATTTAATCAAACTTACTAGTATATATTGTTTTATGAGATATAATATAGAATTTTATATTACAAACTCGATTCACGTATGTCTTAAAATAATGTTTAATAAATAGAAATTATATCTTTACAACTTATGAATATAAATTAATCTCAATTTTAAAACATTACATAGATTATGTCACAAAATATTTTTTTTTTATTACATTACCGTGTTATTAAATGCTTTGTAAAGCATTGTATAATTATAGAATAAAAGTTAAATAGTTTACCTAATATAAAAATGATTATATTTAGCTTAATTTACTTTTTCATTTAGCACACGAGATATATAAGATCCGGGAATGTAAAGTCTAATAAAAAATTAATAGCATTTATTATTTAGTGAGGTATATAAGATAATATTCTTATATATGTTTTTGTTAAGCATTAATATTAGATAATTAATATTAGATAGAATTCTTTAAGACAATTGATCTTAAATCAGCCGTTAATTGTGATAATAAATCTAATTCTCATTGAAATAGACTCCTACGCCAAGACCAAATCCACTCAAAACCTCCATCCCTTCAAAGCACCATGTTTGCGACTGATACATCCTTGTCAGAAGTTATAGAGAATAATCTACTATATCGATTATAAAGAGGTCCTTGACCACTCCAACCATCCTTCCAAAAAAAGGTATTTCGATCATCCCCCACCACTTTGGTACACCTAGAAGAGAACCAATCAAATGATTACTGAACTTGTTTGATTATTAGATGACATTTTATGGTCCTAGTTTTGTAATGGTGGTAGACATTACAATCTGGTGATTATCTTTTATATGGATTACGTTGGATTTTGTTTAGGTGACTTTGTATTTTGTAATGGGTTGGGGTACCTCTTGTACTTTTCTTAATTTATTTTGCTTATAAAAAAAATACTAGATAGAATAAAAAGTTGAGGTTTTAATAAAACAAATTATGTAAAGACATTTTATTTGTCTAATTAAATTTGTTATGGTATGTTATCATCTTTCTTTAGAAAGAAATTCCTTCACAAACAAAACTCTTGATCAGTAATATACATATTAAAGAAAAATATATTTGCATACTAAAATCAACAAAATTTTAACGAAAATGTAAATCCAATAGCTACTCTAATTTTAAGGGAAAACCCTACATCTTTGATTGGTCTAAAATTATATTTATACGTGTTTCTATTTTTTAAATAATCATATTTATTAATTTTCATGCACTATTGTATAATTTTCTAATAAATTTTAATTTTCTTCTTTTATTTTAATATATATATATATATATATATATATAATTAATTTGAAAATAATTATATGTATAATCTGACTGGCTTTCAGACCCACAAGTTTTCATATAATCAAATTAAATAATAGTTTTTAATTATCTTAATTAAATAAATCAATTTTCATTGGTTTCACCCATTGGAAAAAAAAAATATTACTTAAATACATAAGGTTTTGACTGAAGTCTTTACATATGAATATACATCAAAATTCAATTAAGGGTAATCCTACTTACCAAGACTTGATTCAAGTCATCCATGGTTTTGCATGAGGCAAGCACACCTTGAATAAGTACACAAAAGTCACAATACAGCAAAAAAATTTAAGGAAGAAAAGTAATGTGCACCAATATCTACTTATCACCTTTAAGGAAAAGAGAAAACAAAATTGTAATAAATATAATAGATTATGACATGATAGAAAAAGAGAAATTGAGAAAAACTAATATAGTTGTAGATAAAATATATAATAAGTGAAGGTGTCCACTTGTCATTACTCAAGCTTTTAATATTGATATATTATGTTTGCACAAAAAGAGAGAAACAAACACTTATATGCCTATAGCTAATCTTATAAAAGCATTAGGGTGTTTGCGGGTGGGGATTATGGTTGTTGGAACTTGAGGTAGAATCTGAGTGGTAGTGATGGCAATGGTTATGTAGAGGTGTGCAAAAAAAAATTTAAATTGATTTATAACTGATTTGTTTTATGTTAAAAATTTTGCTTTTTTTTATAAAAATTTAAATTGGTTCATTTTGCAAAATTAGTTTAATTATTTAATTCGTTTTTATAAAATGAAATAGTTCGATTTATTTTAAAATTAAAAAAAACTATCCATATATGGATAATTGATTTAATTTCAAAAAAATTAACTGATATTTAGAAAAAATCAATTCATTTTTATCAAATGAATTAGTTCAATTCAATTTATATTTTTAAAAATTCAATCCATAAACACCTTTAATCTCTACGATTTCAAGTTGTGGAAATTAAATTTTTTATATTAATTAAATTTTAATTGCACAAAAAGATTTTTTTTACATCAATGATATTTTATCGGTTGTAGAATCAATATGAAATAGACATTTTAAATGTCTATTATATGGTAGTTGTTGTTTATAGATTATACCTTAAGATATCTTTATTATATGATATTAAAGGTTTGTTTTTAGACTATGCATGAGAGGTGAAGTTGAAAAAAAGATTATTCAAGGTGTGAGTTTGGACAGACTTACGTAACAACACTTAGGAGTATAAGGAATAGATTCATACACTCGAATGATTTTTATGGTGAAAAATTCTAACATATTTGTTGTAGACTAATTGAGTATAGTCCTCAAGTAAATAAAGTCACTACAATAAATGTTACATATAGTGACATACAAAAAGTGTCACTATAAGTATAATATATGTAGGTATATATCTATTTGACATATAGCTACACACAATTTTAGTGTTGATTTTGAATGAGATTTAACAACATATTTTATGTGTTACTATAATTTATATCCACATTTTTTAACAATATACCAACATATATTATATTTATTATGTAAGTAAAAGTAGTTTTTAGTGACACTTATTGTGTTACTATAAGATGTGTGTCACTATTTGACAATTTCCTTGTAGTGAGTGTAACAAATTAAGAAATAAAAATATTGTGTATGTTATTTTAAAGTTCTATATATCTTACTCTACTTAAAACCTTGAGGTTACTTTCTAAAAAAAAAACTTTTTAACATGTTTGTTTAACCTTAGTTTTTTGCTAAAAATAAGCAATTAAGTTTATCATCAAAAACTTCTAGTCTTTAGACAATGGTTTTTTAAACTCTACATTGTTTACGTGTCATTTTTAAACATTTGTTATTGAACAATAATTTAATTATTTTAAAAATTACACCCACAATTATTATTTTTTGTTTTGTGTATCTTTCATAAATTTGTGTTTTGTAACTTTCATAAATATCTTTCATGAAGTTGATGACAAGAAAATAAACTTCCTAAAAATAAATATTGCTCGAGTATACAATCAATTAGTTTGTTAAGAATATAGTTATATTTTTAATTAAGAAATTATTATATTTAATTATTTTTTTTGTTCGTTCCTGGAGTATTTATCGCCGGCAGCAGTGACTAATCTCTTCGCTACATTTGAGACACCTCAAAGGATGGGATAGCTGACTCCAATATTTATTAATTACTGGATTTGGCACAATAAGTTCTATAAACGAGAGTTTTAAATGTGTCTTTTATTATCTTTTTCAATCAATTCAATATATTGTATCATGAGTATTAATATGCTCTTTATCTTTCTTATGAATTTGATCTTCACTTATTTGATACATAAATTTGTAACATGGTATCAGAGTGATATCGTGCTTTTATAAAGGACTCCGATGAAAATCTTTATGCTTTAGGTTTTGACTATGAGTAAGAACATGATTCTGTTTTAGAAGGGAAGTTTCATATTCTCTGCCAGAACAAGAATTGAACTTCTTTCAATGCAAGAAAAATGTTAATTATCAATGATCAAAATCCTTTGATAACCATGAAAAAATATTCTCTAAAAAATATTTTAATTCATCAAATATTTATGATGAAAGAACTTGTAGGAAATATCTATCTGTAATTGTTGACGGTTGTTTTCATAAAAAATTATTAATAGATGTTCTATTGAAAACTAGTGGTCATCTTTTACTCATAGATAATTTGTCAGTAATTTAGGCTATGTTTTCGACAAAATATATGTCAGTAATCATAAATTAGTTTACCGACAGATAAATTCGTTGTTAAGTACGTATTAATTAGATTACTCAACAGATTTTTTGTTGGTACCACTTGGATTCCTTTATGTGTTACTGATAGATTAATGTGTAGGTAATTTTATTATTAATTTTTTTCCATTTTCATAAATTTATTAAGCTAATTATTATATAGTATTACAACCTGATTAATAATATTATATAAAATAAACCTCCTCAAAATAAATATTATAAAATAAATATGATATTAAAGTGTGATACTGATATGATTAACGAATACAAGTTGCACGCAAAAATAAAGAACTAAATAAACGATTACTATTAACAATTTCTATGATAAACTAATATAGTTGCACCACAAAATACATAAAGAAGTTAATCCCATAAAAAATTTAAAATTTCAAAAAAACATTTATCTTATTTGTCTAATTCTCATTAAAGTTGTAGACATCAAAGTCATCTTATAGTCCTTCTTTATTGTCTTCTACGATACATGTGATCATGTACATTTAAGTAACATGAATGAGTTATTAACATAAACACAATTAACGTACATAATTTTTCTTAATTACGATTTTAAAGTTATCTAGCTATTAAGAATTAAATCCAAACCAACAAGTGGTACCAAGAAAGCTAAAAGTGAAGAATTGGCACAAGAATTTAAATAAAAAAAAATTTAAATAGCATAATTTAGGACAAGAATTTATATAATATTTAATAACTTACATAAAATAGAATAATTTAAAAGCATAATTTAGGACACGAATTTATATAATATTTAATAACTTACATAAAACAGAATTTAAATAACATAATTT